GATACCATCCACACCATCTGGATGCTTGGCGGTCCACCACTGTACGTTTCAAAAGGAGTTTTCTTCCGCGTACAACCTCTCTGTGGAATAGTTTACCACCGGCGATTTTTCCGGACCGATACGACCTGGGGACCTTCAAGAAAAGAGCTTACTCCTTTCTAAAGGGCCGGCAACGCACCTGCAATTCCCCTGGTGTTGCGGTTGATCGTGGGCGGCGGTAGTCACTTAACATCAGGTGAGCCGCATGCTCTAACCTAAGCTCTAACCTCAAATCTAAAAAACTAAGCTGTTTGCTTCGTCTTTAGTAATGCGTTCAGCAAGCCAGTGGAATAATTTGTTAGTGTCTGTCTTTTCCATCGTTATAATTAAACAATTAACAATGACTCCGTCATAAAACTGCTTCTTTCTATTTTTAAGAAATTTTTTATGTGGTAGAGCCAAGCTGGGGAAAGATCACGCTCTCACAGAATACCAGCGTAAAATAGAAGCTTAGTGTCGTTGTGTTGCTTATGGTGTGTAGAAAACCAGAGACCCACCCTTCTTACTGGAAACGAAGTATTCCATCGTAGTCCTCAGGGGTGACAATGCATCTCCATTTTCATTCTTAATCGAGGGTTAATGTAGTGTTTTAGTCTCGTTTGTCACTCCATTCTTCAGGGTATCCCAGTAGTGGTGGATAATCTGGTACGTACGTGTTCGGGCGAGGGGGAGGTGGCATCGGTTCCCTTAATTCTATCCCGAACGGTTCGCGCTCTACGCCATGTTTTATAAATTTGCGAAAATTCATACTTTTTCTCACATTTGTAGACGTCACATCCGCAGTTTAATGCCTAGATCGGATTTTTTTTTTCTTTTAATGTGTCCCCTAATAATATTGTTTCTAAATTACCCTTAAAAGTTTTCAACTTCTATGGGTGGTATTTTACAAGAAAGCAATAAACATAAATTTAAATTTTTTACTTTATTTAACTGCTTTGAGCACCTGTGGTGAAAAAAAAACGTGTGGGATCTGTGTGGCCAACCATTTAAAAAGTGTGTACATCATGAGGATTCTAATACAGGAGCATACCATGTACTTAATGTCATTACTTACTGAGTTATAACTGTTAATGTGTAAAAGTAGGCATTTCATTACAAAATTATTGGCGGATAGTTTATTTTTTCTAAATTGCATGTATTTATTAGGTAAGTACATCTGTCGCCCTTAAAAATTTTACTTTAGCCTTGTTTAGACGAATTCTAAGCTCTGTGAGCGAGACAAACATTAAAACTTTACATAGTCTTTTATGTACAGCTGTGAAAATATGGTTTGTACTGTTTGTTGTCCATTTGTTAAGGATGCATAACTTAATGAAAAGGAAATGAAACAAGTTATATCCAATTTTTTTTAATTTAAAATCATTAACAGAAAATACTCGAACTGGCCTCCTTCTGTCCTTATACAGGCTCTAACATCTTTTTACAAACAATTTTACTAAAACTCTGATAATTTTTGGTTGAAATAACCCTTGCTGCGTCTGTGGCGCGAAGTCTTAAGTTCGTCGATTGTTTCAATTGGTTTTTTATAAACTTGTTCCTTCAGGCAGCCCCAATAAAAAATCTAATAGGTTAAGATCAGGTGATCTTGGTGGCAACAATATCGGCCCCATTCGGCCGGCATACAGATTTTCTATAAAAATTAAAACTTATGTTTAGTGCCGTCTTTTAAAATACCACCCATAGTAGTTGAAAACTATTTTTCAAGAAGATTAAAGATACACATAACATAAATACACGTAACAAAAATAAATTATATCTACTACAGTCCCGTACAAAAATGTTAAATACAAACCCCTACTATATGGCAATAAAAGTTTATAATAATTACCACAGGAAATAAAAAACATATCAGAATTAACCAAATTTCAATCGAGCCTCAGAAAATATTTAAAACAAAACCCCTTCCACTCGATTGAGGAGTATTTAAATAAAAAATAATAATATTATGTATTTTAAATTTATGTAGCTTCTAAGTATATTTTATGTACATAAGCAATGTCCTCGTTAAATTTGTAGTGCCTAAAAAAGGCGTCTAAGTTGTAAGTACATTTTTAATTTAAGACCAATTATGTACACTTGGATTGCAAATAAATTTGATTTGAAACATAATTATTAGGGAACACATTAAAAGAAGTACGAATTTTCGGAATTTTATAAAATATGGCGTAGAGCGCGAACCGTTCGGGATAGAATTTTTTTAGGCAACCGAGGCTCCCCCCACAGATTATCGTACCATATTATCCACCATTATTGGGACACCCTGTATACAAAAAATGGTAGGATATGTGTTATTAAATTTCACACCTTATATTTATTTACGGCAAATGATAACTAACAGATCTTTTGCAGTAAAACAACTGGTTCATAAAAGAATGGTTACTCGCATCGCCAGTGAACAGACACAAGCACTTATCTTAGTTACAAGCCTCTATTTGTTCATGTGTAATGATTTGAATGGTGTTTTAATTCCAGATTCGATGGTGTGTCAACAATCGAGGCTCGGCCCCTATTCCCTGTGCCCAAGTACCAGCAACCTGCACCAGCAAACAGTGCGCGACCGCCCGCCGATTCTAATCGCATCAGCTAGTATACCAATGATAAATCATGTTTTAGCTGAATCTGTCAAAAGGCTTTACTATTTTCTCTCAATTGTCACAATTTTGGCACTTTTTACAATTGTTACAAAGTATGATAATTAGCGATGTAAATAGGTCGACGTTTGAAATTAAACAGATCAAACATTGGCTTTTGTGAATCTGAATGTAGCTTCTGTGATAGTAAAATTGTGACTACGAACACTCAAGTAAAGATTAATAAGTTTAAAAAAACCGATTGTTTTTGAATATAACCTTCAAGCATTAAGTTGTTTTTTTGGCTTAGAAAGTTTCGTTTTAAAGTCCGTATTCAGACACCAATTAAATTTCTCACTTGTGGAATAGAGTCTTTCGAACATGGGCTATCATCCAATCTAATGTCTTCAAGTTTTGTCAGAAAATACATAATGCTGACTTTAGAACCTGCCTTGTTTTGTAGAAGTAGGTTTATAAGACAAAAATAAATAAATAAATGTGGGTAAATTTTTGACACATTCAAACTTAATTCTGCTATTGCTGTACTCAATGATAACATCGCTAATGATTGTGTTCGAGTTGCAATTACAGGAAATAAATAGCTTGAATGTTAATTTCTTAAATTCAACTGGGATAATATTGTTAAAATTATAATAACCAAAATTTTCGAAGACAATATTGAAAAAAATAGTTTTCAACTAATTACAAGATCTGTTGATAATGAACATAATGTTCTGTACCAGTTGGAGATGCGACCATGCGTTTTATGTATGATAAATTTTATGTGAAATAATATGAAATGTTTGTACGACAATAAGAAGTATGTATGATGAAAACTTGTCTATGGTTTTACGTGATTAATAAAAAAATATACACCCAGTCTTAACAAATATTTTAAAAGAAATGTGGTGATTCAAACACGAGTGTTGTTATACAAGGAATGTGACGGCAACGTTGGAATTGCATGTTTAATACAAATGAACACAAATATAAGTCGCATATTTTGATATCAGACAATAATTACGAAAACTATAATTTTTTTGCGAGTTGTTTTGCTAGTATTTAGAATTTAACATTTTCCAATGGAAATAAAATAGTACTTTCGTGTATGTAATTTTATAAGTAAATTTAAGTTGATGACTGTAAAGTCAAACTACTGTGAGCATTCAACATTTCTCGAATTTAATTTTATGTTGTACAATTTTTTACACAGTCCCTTAAAGCGTTTGTTTATTATTACTTTATATGCTTACAGTATTGACGATAAATGCAACTTGCTAAGATTTGTATAGCTGTAATTTATATTTTATTGCCATACCATACCATAATTGTGTTCATTTAATCTATCTGAAATTATCTATCATTTCACTGACTTATAGGTTCTCAATAAATCTTCTGCAGACTCCATCATATATCCTTAGTATTAAAATATAACGTTTTAATATTGTTTCGAGGACCAAGTTATAAAATTAAGTGATGTTAAAATAATTTACACATTACATGGGGATCATAAATTAAATGAACGAGTAAATATCATCTGCGCCATAATGGTTTTGGTTAATCTGTATTCAGCTATGTTTTATGATGTATCTACGTTATACTGAAACATGTTTTTATGATATCTGTATGTAAGGACTAATTTTCATTGTGAACCAAACTTAGTGATGTTATTTATCTAATACCAATTCTTAGCACTTCATGTTTGTTAGTAAATTATTATTTTTGAGATTTAAGGTATGTTTTTAATGTTGATAATTAGTTTTAATGTAATTTAATATAATCGATATTTCGCTCCAATTTTGCTAATGGAGGTAAGTACGAGTACCTTTTTTGGTAAATAAAAAAATATATAAAAAATTGTGTTTTTCCTAAATAATTTTTTCCATACCTTGTTCCACATATTTTTCACGTATCCTTTCTATTCAACACGGTGTGAAAGTGGCTAGGTGCGTGTGCGCACTACTTTGATATATAGTTTCCGTTTGAATGTGCCGTGATTACTGTTAGTCGAATATAATCTTTATGTCAAAGGTGTTATAGATGTTTGTTTGATCGCTGTAGGGCAAGGAAGATATGCGCTAGACTAACCACGGTAAAATCTATTTGGAGACCATCTGCGTCATTTCTGTCGGCTGGTTCGCCCCAGAGTGTAGGCGGCAAGCGGATGAAATCAATAATTAATGTAGTTGGTAAATAAAATCGCTCTTAAAATTCTAGTGAATAAGTGGTGCAAGTTTTTAGAGCTTTGTTTAAAATAAAATGCAGTATATAAGTTCCGTAGACTTTTATTTATTTTTTTAATCAGAAAATAAATCTTACATCGATTGAATCGTTTTACGTGCGAGGTTTTTTTTTAAGTTATTTGTACTGTTGAATGTTCGGTGGTTTTGGTTAGGGTGAGAGCTTCTGCGTGTAGACGTTGCCCAATCCTTTTTTGGTTGACGTTCCACCTGTAAGGATAAAATATTAAAATTAATAAAATGTATGAATTGGTTATTTAAATATTATCTCGCATACATAATCTACAGAACTCCTGTGTTAAGTTGGCGCTAATTGCGGTTTGTACAGCAACCACATTTGAATTTACCGTTTGCGTTCGAGAACGCACTTGGAATTTTAAACGGTCACTAGCTGCCTATGTTATTCGCGGTTATCATACACAAAATTGCGGATATTGAATTAGACTAGCTCTCGTTTTGAAATCCACCTTATTAATAATGTTAATTGATGTTGTCGATTTTGTGATGTATTTAAAAATTACTTAGTCGATAAAATTCAACCGAAACTACATGCCAAAAGTAAACCAAAAGCAATTAATATAAACACTATACCTAACTCTTATGTTCTTAGAGCCTAGTGCCTACAGCATATAAGGTAAAGGAAATAATATGTCTGAGAAACATTTATGTAGGTACGTTGTAGGTTATGATGACATTTGTGGCTAATGAGATACGTGATCACCTGAGTTATATAATTAATCTTAGCATTTGCGCTGGCATATAACCATATGCCTTAAAAACCTTTTTAATAAAACCATTATTTAAGAAAAATAATAGAGAGTCAATCGAAAACTACAGACCGATTTCACTTATTCCCATAATTTAAAAAAATTATTGAAAATTACATTTACAATAAGTTATATAAATACGTAGAAAAACATAACATTTTGTATAAAAAACAGAAAGGATTGAAATTGAATGTTTTTCGTTCGTTGGTTGAAATAATTACTTGGTCAGCTCAAGGCAAATTTAAGATAATTTATTTTATTTAGTAATAATTATTATCTCGATGTATGTTTAGGCCAAAATTCTGAGTGTATTATATGTTTATTGCTTATGTTGCGAATTATTGGAATAGAATCTATTCCAACAATTCGCAACATCAGGTCTAGAATTATCTGTTAAATAGATAGGAATTCCATCAATTTTTGATACGCGATCTAAGTGTCCCACTAAAGTCGCAATTAAGTTTGTTTACGCGACTTTGGTGGGACACTTAGACACCGTATCAAATATTAATGGCATTCTCGTTAGTCAGACATTTTTAGAGTTCTGTTTGTTGATGTCTTTTTCAGAAACATCTTTCAGTATCACGATGGAATTTCGTATAGCGACATCTGTTGGTAGGATTTGTAAATATTTTGGCGTTGCAGTTCGTGAGTTTGTATAAAAAGAAATCAAATTGCTAAACAATAAATTAAAAAAAGTAAAATACGAGAAATCGTTGCTTGGTAAAATATTTAATAAAAAATATTAAAATAGAAAATATTTCAATTATAAATACCTAATATAAATTTCGGACTGAAATTTGTATCCATCATCCTCTGGTTTCGAAATAGATTTGCAACCATTTTAATTAAATTATTAGTTATTAATTTCTAATGTAATGTCTTTTAAGAATATGGTCACGGCTTTTTCCGTGTAAAGTATTATTATCCAAAATTTAGTTGGTCTCAGAATTTATATAGGTTCCCTTAAGGATTCATAATTAAAAAAAAAAAACAAAATTGATGCGGTATGCGTATATAAATTACGTAAAAAAATTGACCTAATTTTGTATATAAGAAATACCTATTAGACTCGATATGGTTTTGATGTTATGTTATATTATCAATCAAACAATTTTATTAGAAAACTAGTAGGTAACTGCGTGTCGAAAATAATGATGACGGTTTTGTAAACGTAACCCGAGTACAGCAGTTAACATTTATTTCCGACGTTCTATTCTATAGCATGTGTAATTTTATACGTATTAGTGATGCAACAGACTCTGCTTTCTTCTTCTTTTGCATCCGCAACTGCGTTCCACGCTTTTTGATTTCCGCAACTTTTATAACGGCAATTTGATTGGAACTTTGATGGACGGCATACTTTTGCCAAAGGTGCCGACTTCAAATTGAAATTGAAGTCCAACCTACGTCATCATCAATGATGAATTCATCATTACAAATGTTAGAATCGATGTTGCACCAGTAACAAGAGTGGCAATCTCTTTTATAAACACAATCCACCTTCTGTAGTGTTTGGTGGAAATGAAATGCACACAAATATCGTAATCTTTTTGCCGTTAGTTCGCCAATATTTATCAGCTGCTCCAAGCAGCGTCAATGAGCAATTATTTAGCGAAGCTATCCTTATACATAAAGGAAACGCAAACAGATTTCTAGGTGTAAAAGCGGTCAAACTACTTTTCATTAAATATAACTTACCACTACTGTATGTATTTTACTCAACTTGTACTTAATTTTAAATGTTAATTTAAAAAAATATAATATTTGTCATAAATGGAACTTTTCGCTTTTTACATAGAATGTACACTTCCGCTTCTGCATCAGTTTGCGTTTCTGTTTCCGGTTTCCGCTAAAATTTACCTACTTTTGAGTGCTAATATGTTTTTTGCTTCCGTTATGACTTATGATACTTATGTTGCATCAGTATTACGTATGTACTATGTAATTGTAATGTAGTTAATAAATAAGTTTCATTTAGTTGAATTATACTAGTTGCAAAGTTAACACGGTGTTTCGTTTCATTGCGAAACTTCACCGCGTTTTCAATTTAGGCAGCGTAAAACAATAAATATGACAAAATACGACTTTGTGCACAATATTCTTAATAATATGGAGGCAAGAACACAATTTCCACTTCCCTACCCTCTTACATAATCTACACGCCATTGGCATTAGGGGTAATGTACTAAACCTTATAGAACCTTACCTTAACAGTAGAATACTAATAACTGCAATTAAGAATTTTAATAAGGTTAATAAATACGAAGAAACATTTCGATCGTCGGAACGTAAAATCAGCTTTGGAGTTCCGCAAGGGAGTGTATTGGGACCGTTACTGTTTATACTATATATTAATGACCTACCTAAATACATAGAATAAACAATTCTCTAAAAATAACTATAAAAGTCACACATAATTTAATATTAATTTCGGCAAAAAAAGGTTGTATATTTCAGACAACGTAAACACGATAATAATATAGTCATAACACAATATAATAACAATGACATTGCTGAAGTTGAATGCACGAGATTTCTGGGACTGGAAATTATTGAAAATTTGAATTGAAAATTACACATTAGGATACTAAAAATATAAGTAAGTCTGCATATGCTCTAGGGAAATTGTCATCTATAATATGTGCGGATGGACTCCATACTACGTATTATAGTACGGTAGAAACATACCTACGATATGGCGTAATATTTTGGGGTAACTTTCGAAAAAGGAAAGGTATTCACGACACAAAAAGGTGTATACGTTCCATGTTTATGCTGAAGAGTATATTAACTGTACCTTTTATATAATTAGAAATAGTAGTCTTTGTAAAGTCGATACAGAACCGTTTTAAGTGCCTAACAGACCTTGTTCCAAGAAACAGACGCGTACCTTTTATATAATTAGAAATAGTAGTCTTTGTAAAGTCGATACAGAACCGTTTTAAGTGCCTAACAGACCTTGTTCCAAGCAACAGACGGGACACTATTGTCTACTATTAGAGTTGTCATTATTAGGGGAAAAACACTAAGATGTTATTTCCTTAATACGTCTTTGGAAAAACAGCACTAATACGCAACAGTGCCTGCTGCCTGCATGGGTCCGACTATCAACAAATTATCCAAGAGCTGGAGGGATCTCAATTCTCAACACTTCATTATTTGAGAGAATACTACGAAACTCTTTAACAGACAAAGTGTAGGCTATATTAATGATTTTTTTTATGGGGAAAATGTCAAATTATTATTACCTAATGTAATTTATTTGACGGGAGCATGGAAATGTCCGCCACGATGCCTTAACATGTTGCACAGATTTCAAAATGTCTTCGAAATATTTCTTTTTTTTTTAAATTATATTTTATAATTTTTATTAATTAAGAAAACGTGATTCCTACTCTAAAATTTTCTCCTTTACCGTGAACGCGTTTTACATACTGCACATGGACAAGCTTCCTGAACCGGAACAGTTATTTGTGGGCTATACAGACCTAATAAATATGGACTAATCACTACGGCAAAATCGCTGGAAGAGATTACCACTACCGGTAAATCTAGTGAACGTAGACGAGACGAAGAATAAAATTTAACGTCCATGACACACCTACAAGCTACAACAGCAGTGGTTGTAGGGAAAACGACGCTCGAAGTTGTTTACGAGCTATTACATGTCAGACTTACTAAACCATAACTTTTTTTAACAGAATGGAGGAGACAAACGAGCACACAGTCCATCTGAACTTATATAATACTCGATATTGAACATTGGTCTGAGGTTCGCGTAGTGTATATTTTCTTTGTCTGAGGACATTGTCGGCGACAAGGCATATAATTAACCAGTGACGAACTGTGTTTTGTTCATAAGACTATTATAATTTCCTAATTAGTGTAATTAGCGTGTAATAACTCATATTAGAATATAATTTATAAAGGTTAGCTTTTAATAATAATTTATAAGGAAGCTTTTAAGCGAAAATTTGTATTGAAAATACTTATAAAAAATTTTAGTTTTTTTAGCGCTTGGAAACTAGTGTTAAATTAAAAGTTTAAATGTAATGTAATATAAACAAAAAGAACTAAGTAGATCAGACATCTATTTCATTAAATATAAGATAAAATGTATAGTAAATTAACAATTTTGTAGGGTTTTTGTTCTAGAAATTTTATATTTAAGAAACTAATATGTAGCTTATATTATTATTTTATATTATAGAACAGCACTAGAGAAATCTATCAATGTATAAATTGTAAGGGCTATGTGAAAGTTATAATAAATAAAGGCTCCTAAGGTTTCGGCTTGAAATAAAAACAACACGCGAGACAGGCAAAACCGCGTAAGCGTCCGTACGGTACAGCCGCGCCGGCGGGTATAAAAGTCAATTCAAGTCATAAAAAGGATCTCCTAGGTCTGCGTTGTTTGTGTTTAGCAGTGAGCACATACAA